CTCGTGAGCTCGGTCTCGATCCATCATCGGTATAGGCTGTCTTCCCTGCGTCTTCTCCTCATCACCCTGCAAAAGCCACCAGCACTCTTACAATCTCAAACATTAGCGCACACGCAATCACTCCCAATAATAGAACACAAGTCAGAAAAGCCGCAATGTATACGCAATAATACTATGTATACGACAGCATAACGCAATTAATACGCGCAAACGTACCGACTATACTTATCAGCTTACAACTGTCGTTCCTATCTACCTATACTTCGATCTAGTCACAAGATAGTGTCACAAAGAAAAAATTCCAAATTTTTTGATTTTTGGTAAAAGTTATATCAACATGAGCTTGCAAGCCCCTCCCCGTCAGCGCAATAATAGTGCTAGCATAACAAGGAACAAGATTCGAGGGTGGGCCGTGGCCATCTTGCTCAGATAGCTTAACGAGAAACAAGATCCCAGAGTGGACCGTGGCCATCTTCCTGAGGTAGACAGATCGATCATCAGCCCCATTCCCACCACTATATTTACTATAGCGCTTACCTGCTCGTAGAATTCCTCAAAGATGACCTTGACCGTCTTCACCTGGATATCCCACGGCTTGATGCTGGCCGATAGGTCGCAGCCGGTCATGATGATGGCTTGAAGCAGCTCCCTGCAAGCGAAGCCATCACGCTCACAGATCACGCTCTCCCACGGTTAGTCACCGCCGCCGAGATACCCCATATTACTCTACGGTTTCCATGGTAACGCAACATACATCGGTATCCATGGAGATATGAATCTCTACGGTTTCCATGGTAACGTAACGTACATTGGTATCCATGGAGATATGAATCTCTACGGTTTCCATGGTGACGTAACTTACAATGCTATCCATGGAGGATATACGACTACCTACGGTTTCCATGGAGATACATACGACTACCTACGGTTTCCATGGAGATACATACGACTACCTACGGTTTCCATGAAGATACATACGACTACCTACGGTTTCCATAGAGACATACCCCACGATATTTTCCAACGATATGCATCACTCTGTGGTTTCCATGGCGGCATAGCGTTGTATAGTTTTCATTAATATTACGATATTTCACCACCCCCCAGAGATACTTCTCATCTAAATTGTTCACCTGCAGATGCAGCTTTCTATATAGTTTCCATTAGTTGCGAAGAATATGCATCACTTATACAGTATTACAGAAGCAACCATTTCTATGGCGACATAGGTGGCGACATTTTCCATGAAAATGCATTTCGCTATAGTGTCTATGGAGATTTCCTATTTGTTCTCGTAACTATTCTATTTTCGACGACAGCTTCTATGTGCAGGTGCGGGTGCTTTATAGTTTCCATGGCAACACGCTTCTCTACGGTTTGCATTAAGAGACATCCCATATGTTTAGCATGTTTGCTTCTTAGCTCCCTAGATTTCTACCCCTAACGAGTCGTCGTTTTGAATAGCCCCCCTCCAACAAAGGGAGAAAACCCACGTGCGATTAAAAAAATACATCACTAGATCTAGCGATATATACTGAAAGCAATTCGATGTAATCTATTCACAGACAGCTTTCGATTAAACGATCTGCTCGCTACACGTTGACACTTAGAAACTGCATCAAACTAGTTACTAGCTAATAATATGAACAGCAGATGAAAGCACAACTTACGTTATCACGATTCCTGCATAAGTTCCGCTTAGATAATTTCCGAAAAAGCTATCTGCTCGGTGCACGTTGACATTTAGGGACTGCATCAAACTAATTACTAGCTACGTGTAATAATATAAACAGCAGGTGGAAAAACAATCTACGCTATCTCGAGAAGCCGGGGTCGATAAAACAAAGCTCCGCCCATTTTTACCTGTCACTCAGCAGTGTCTCTCACCGCATTGGCACCGGGCAGTAGTGGCTCCGCCCACATTAACGAATGATCACAAAGCTGACATCTGAAGGTCACATCACAGAGGGCACTATACTAAGGTGGGAATTCGCAGCGGGACCCACGCTACAGGGGTAGCCATAGAAGAAGCCACGCTACAGGGATAGCCATAGAGGGAGCCACGCTACAGGGGTAGCCATAGAGGGAGCCACGCTACAGGGGTAGCCATAGAGGGAGCCACGCTACAAGGGTAGCCATA